AAAGAGTGTTAGACTCCCTGTACGAGGGACACCCAGGAATGGTGCACATGAAAGCGTTAGCAAGGGGATACGTCTGGTGGCCTTGGGCTAGACACCGAAATTGAGGAGTGGGTGCGGGTGTGCATGCCGTGCCAACAGGCCAGACCCGAGCCTCCACAGGCTTCCCCTCAAAAGTGGGAATCTACAGGCAAGCCGTGGTCTAGGCTGCATATAGATTTTGCGGGGCCCATGCAAGGACAAATGTTTTTAATTGTCATTGATGCATTGTCAAAACGGTTGGAAGTGGTGCATATGCACTCGACCACTTCAATAGTGGTCATACATGCGCTACGCTGGCTTTTCGCAACAGACGGACTGCCGGACATGTTAGTGAGTGATAACGGGCCTCAATTTACATCCCAAGAGTTTGCTCAGTTTCTCTCTGACAATGGTATCCGCCATGTTACCTCTGCCCCGTTCCATCCCACGTCAAATGGGCAGGCAGAGAGAATGGTCAGAATGAACAAAGAGGCCTTAATCAAAATGTATGAGGGAGAGTGGAATGTGAAACTGGGCTCGTTTCTGTTGAGGCAGCACACCACCCCCTGTAGTGCCACGGGCCGTAGTTCAGCCGTGTTATTAATGGGCCGACGCTTGACTACCCATTTGAACCGGTTGCACCCGGATTTAAACGAACAACAGCCAGAGCGCAAGGATACGCCAACGAAAGTGCACATGTACGAGGCCAGGGACAAAGTATTTGCCTGGAATTATGCTGGAAGGCACTCATGGCTCCCTCGGGTGGTGTGCGAAAACATAGGCACCAGAATGTATGTGGTAGAGCTGGCTAACGGCAGGAAATGGCGGCGCCACATAGACCAGCTGAGAAGGAGATGGGCGAAGGACAGTGCTGACTCTCCGACAGTGGAGTCTCCAGAACCTGAGTATGTGTTTAGACTTCCAGACACGGAGGTGAGTACTGTTCCCGAAGCAGGGCAGACCCCTGGTTTCAAGGCTGCAACCCCAGCAGTGAGTGTGCCTGACCCAGTCATTGCAGAGCCCATAGGTGACCCACAGTTGAGTTTGCCCCCTGAGCCTGCACAGCTCTGCAGGTCTCAACATGTGTGGCGAGCGCCATTGTACCTGGGCAATTATGATTGCAATAAACTATATTGTAATGACTGATGTATATATTGTTGGAAAACAGTGAATGTGTGTTTAGAAATGCTGTATTGTTTTAACTTAGGGGGGAGGAATTGTGGTGTATTCGAAAAGGCTTACAGGAATCGCTGCATTAACTCTCCATGATAAGCTCAAGCCAGAGGAAGGCTCCTTTGAGCCAACTTGCTATTGGTCGCTCCACAACAGCGACCAATCAGAACTGTTCCAATTCCCTGCGAGGGAAGAACTTTCATTGGATGTTATCTGCACAACCTCATTGGTTGTTTATTGTAAACAGGCGTGGCTACGTTAGCCCGGGAATGTTTAAAAGGAGCCTAGCTCCCAATGTTAAGTTGTTTTGGTGATGACTTCTTTCAAGCGCTTGTTCGTACCTACAATAAAGCTGATCACTTTTGTTGAAATCACTCTCCAGTTCTTTGTTAGCGGTGATCTAACAAGAAGACCAGCCAGTCCCCCAATTGGATAAATATGCTGACAATGTTGGATAGGTTTCCCTTCTCTGACACTTCTTTTTCCTTTTGTGTTTTGACTTTTTACTTTGTATGCCTGAGGACAAGGGCCTATATTTCTTATTTCTGTAGGAGATCATTCTAGGGTTGCCTGACAGGACCTCCCAACCAGCAGGAGACCAGGGTGGCAGGGATATGGGAGGCAGTCATTGACAATGGTGTGATATCACTTCTCGGAAAACATGGAAGTGATGTCACACCTCTCTAGTAATCACTGGAACCACAGAGTTTCCAGTGATTCCTAGAAAGGACTGATATCATGTCTGGATTTTACCTGTAAGTGATGTCACATTGTTGGCCCAAGGGCCATTATAAAAAGTCTACTGCCACTGCTCAGAGTAGCAGTGGGAAATCAGAAACAAGGACAGGGAATCATCCACCTTTCACAGGGATATGGCAAACCTAGACTATGGTGGAATCTGCATTGGTATTTTCCACTGCTTCAGCTACACTCTTGCTCCGTCTCCAAAAAAGATGTCCACATCTCTTTAGGTTTCACTCTCCTACTGCACTGTTATAGTTTCTGCTGTCTGCATTATTTTATTGCTCTATGGTTTCGGCTCCATCATGATTGTGGCTTCTCTCCAGCTCAAACGGATGTGCTTAAAAGCACTCTAAGCCCCCCCCCAAGTGCTAATCGGAGGCTTATCTGCTTTGTTTACTTTCTGACAGCACATAGAGGAATGTAAGAAACTTTTCCCTTGCTTGACAAGCTAAGAGTGAATGATTTTGTCTTGTTTTGTGATTTTTATATTGCCTGAAAAGTTAGAGAAAGATCCCTTCTACATACATACATACATTCTGCAAACTAAACACCCAGTCTTTACAGTTTTTTGGCTATTTTGGCTATTTTTGCTTTTTTGTTTAAACCAAAAGCTGGGAAAAACTGAAAGCTGACAAAATCCTTCTCTTTGAATGTAAAGAGAAGCTTATAGCTTGTTGGCTTGTTGCCTTAAGTAATTTATTGCCTTGTGTAAAACTAATAATGCTGGCAAACGCCTGGCATGCTAGAGAAGAGGGAGGACAAAAACAACATTCCTGGCCAGCAAGCAGAAAAAAATAGCAGATTTTTTCGTACCACTTTGAAAAAAGCATCACACCGATATAAAGAAAGACGGCATCTAGACTGCTTTAAAAATGAAATGCAGATTCAGCCTATAATTTGAGGCAGGAAAAGAAACTTGGGCTTTTCAACATTCTAATCTTCTGACAGAGCCAGATCAAGACATGCCCAAAACTATGTCATGTTTAAGAGACCCCGTAGCATTACCAAAAATGTTTATTATTCTAACATTACATTTAATATTGTTTTTATTTTGAGGCCCCTCATATTTCCAGGCCCTTATCTGTGGCTTACTTAGTTGTGAGTAAATCCAGCTATGCGTCATACATTCTCATGTATTTTGAGAAGCTACACATTATCTTCTCCTCTTGCGCTTATATGTACAGTGTTGGTCTCAGGGAAATGTAATATTCCGATGAGATCTAGAGTCCTGCAGCGTAAATTGTAGTAATGTGACACTGACTAAAAAAGAATAAAAGCTTTTGTCTTGAGGAAGTTCTGGCCACTGTGACAATCCTTCATGTTATCTTGTAGTATAATATGTAAAGTAGTTTAAATCTATGGCCTCATGTGTAACTGTGAATTTAATTGTGGAAGGCTTTTAGATATTTTTAATATACCAAATAGTTTGGCTTCCTGTCTGCATTTTGTCCTTGCAGTCCAAAGGGCTTTTAGTGATTTCAGACTTAATGAATAAAAAATGGCAGCAGCCTCTTCAAAACAGATGAATATTCTACCTCATCAATTGCATCCTACTCTGTGCCTTTAAAGTATTGATGCTAAATAACATATTTTGTGAAACTCATTTGCTTGTTTATTTATAGGAAAGAACAAGAGGTTGATTCGAAAGATGCTATCATACTGCATCAATTTTCAAGGCCAAACAACGGTATTCCCAGCTTATCTCCTTTCTGTTTGAAAATGGAGACTTACTTAAGGATGGCTGATTTACCTTACCAGGTAAAAAGGTGCATGTTATATTCTGTTGTACTTTGGCTGCCTAGAGGCATACTGATAGGCATCCCATTTACCTCCTTAGTGGAGGGAACTCCTGGCCAATTTCCTGCTTCTGAGGAATTGAGGAACAGGGCCAACCCCAGATATTTTTCCACGCTAGACGAGGACACCTTATGGCACCCCCACATGTGCCCCCCAATATCTGGCGACCCCCTTCTGGCACCCCTGCAGCCGCCTGGGACCATCCCTCCCTCCCTCCCTCCCAGCAGCCCCGCTTGGGCGCCTCTTTCAGAGGTCAGCCCCGATGAGACCCACCCGCAAGGTCGCTACTGGAGAGGTGGGAGCCTGGTGGGAGTTGTAGTCCTTGCCACTGTGCGAAGCGGTGCACTTGTCCCCCCCGCACAAGAACGCTGTCTCTGCCTTCTCGCCTTGAGCCCTGGCGCGGGCTGCATGGGTGCCTCTCCGCAGCTTCCCAGGCCCACCCAACGTAAAGCCTGGGAACAACAATACCACTGCCCCGACAACTGCAAGAAGAAGAAGAGAAGAAGAAGAGATTGGATTTATACCCCGCCCTTCCCTACCCAAAGGTGTCTCAGAGTGGCTTACAAACTCCTTTCCCTTGCCCTCCCCACAACAGACGCCCTGTGAGGTAGGTGGGGCTGAGAGAGCTCTTGACAGAAACTCAAGAACAGCTCTTATCAGAGCTAAGGCTTGCCCAAGGTCGTCCAGCTAGGTGCAAGTGGGGGAGTGGGGAATCAAACCCGGTTCTCCCAGATTAGAGTCCGTGCACTTAACCACTACACCAAACTGCAAGTGTGGGGTGAAACTGGGGTGACCTCAATGTAATGTGGAAACAAAAAATACCCTGAGATAATTACAGGGGTGAACTCGAGTGTAGTGTAGAATGTAAGTCCGGGGACAGGGTTGAACCAGGAATTAAGGTCTAGTGCAGAATCACCCTGAATGGCACAAGGTCTGTTCATTGCCAGAGAAAGGCCTAATAATCGGTTACTCTATTCTCTCCCAGAAGTAGAGCTAAACCACTCTGCCACAGTAACAAGCAGAGCTACCCTTCACTCTGTCTGCTGTTTAACTGAGCTCTCACTGCTCTTCTCCTCCAACATTCTATCCCCCTTCCATTAAGTGATTGGATACTGGAGCAGCACTCCCATAGGCTGAGCTGAGTGGCTGTTTTTTTTCCCTTCAGGAGGAGGACAGCCTCCTGTCTGTCACAGTCCTTGTATCTCGCCCTCACTCAATGGAGCAGCAGGGGGGAGAAGGGGGAAAGCACACATAGAAGTCTGTAGTGACACTCTAGGAGTTTCAAAACATTCTATGGTTTCGCCACAGAGATTTTGTAAAAAAATTCCTAGAGTGTCAGTTCTAAAAAGTCTCTGCCTCCCTCCTGCCACCTCTACCAGTGCTCTGGGAGATTGCCAACCAAGGACTGGCTTTCCTAGTTGAGAACCAGACATACTGATGTAATCCACCATACTGGAGCACAGGGTTACAATTTACTCACTTGTGGTAGGTCTCCTCCAGTGCTCCTCATCCCCTGCCCTTGCTCAGTGGAGTTGTGGGGGAATGGGGGGCTGAGGATCCAGACGTGATGTTGTCATATTGCATGATTCTCTAGGAATTCCCCCAATATCTATGGTCTTTACTGTACAGTACAATCTGTACTGTACAGATTGGGGAAATTCCTAGAGCACTGCTTGATGTGGTGATATCACTTCTGGATCTTCACCCAAGTGATGTTGTTGCATTGCACATCTGGTAACCTGGTAAAGTGATGCTCCTGCATTTATTTAAGCACTCTGCTAACTAATGGTGACTGGACTAACCACACCAGTTAACCTGAATACTCCTCTCCATGACTATCTGTGTAGAATTATCTGGGCCTTGTCTGCTACTTCAGATAAGGAAGGAATTGATGATAGGATCAAGTGAATAACAGAGGGAGAAATTATGCCTGCCCACTTGCGGTTCAACAGCAGTTTCAAATCTGTGGGTTAACTGGACTACTCTGTCACAGGCTTCCACGAAGTACGCCAGCATATGTGTAGTCTTTCTGTGTGTAGTGGGCATGTGTAGAAACATTCCTTATATACTTCATGTTGTTAATTACTCATATGATTTTTGCAAATTGAAAAGCATTTGACAACCCTTGTGTCTTTCACTCCTAACAGTCTTTTGAGGTGGGATGTTATGTTCCAGTGTGATAAGAACGATCAGACTGAGAGCACGTTCCTAGCCCAAGGCCAATCAGTCAATTTATTGCCAAACGGGAATTTGAACCCAAGTTAAATTGTGTGCTTGGTTTGTGTGTGATTTCCTTTTTCCTTCATCCTTCCTTCCTTCCTTCCTCTTTTTTTAAAGAACTATTTTGATGGAAAACTTTCTCCTCAAGGGAAAATGCCATGGATTGAATACAATCGTAAAAAAGTATCTGGCACAGAGTTTATTATTGATTTTTTGGAAGATAAGCTTGGAGTGAATTTAAACAAACACCTTGACCCACATGAAAGAGCAGTTTCTAGAGCAGTAACAAAGATGGTAGAGGAGCACTTTTACTGGTAAGTTGCTGTGGAGACTGTTCTCTGTCTCTGTTTCTGTCTCTCTGTCTCTGTCTCTGAAATTTGTTGTTTTAATATTTGTGTGCAGTACATTTAGAGGTATTTTGGTTAGTATCAGGGCTATTTTTGGGCAGGAACGTACAGGAACAGAGTTCCAGCTGGCTTCCGAGTTGGTCACGCCCAGCAGGAACTCATTAGCATAATAGGCCACACCCAACAGCAGAAACTCATTAGGATTGGCTACATTAGGGGTGTGTAGCCTAACATTTATTTATTTATTTATTTATTATTCAAATTTATATCCCGTACAGGAACAGAGTTCCAGCTGGCTTCCGAGTTGGTCACGCCCAGCAGGAACTCATTAGCATAATAGGCCACACCCAACAGCAGAAACTCATTAGGATTGGCTACATTAGGGGTGTGTAGCCTAACATTTATTTATTTATTTATTTATTATTCAAATTTATATCCCGTACAGGAACAGAGTTCCAGCTGGCTTCCGAGTTGGTCACGCCCAGCAGGAACTCATTAGCATAATAGGCCACACCCAACAGCAGAAACTCATTAGGATTGGCTACATTAGGGGTGTGTAGCCTAACATTTATTTATTTATTTATTTATTATTCAAATTTATATCCCGTACAGGAACAGAGTTCCAGCTGGCTTCCGAGTTGGTCACGCCCAGCAGGAACTCATTAGCATAATAGGCCATTACTTTCTTCTGCTCAAGATATCACCTTCTTGCAGATCCATATGTACTGACTTCCACAACTGCTGTCATTCCACGATGGCAACTTATTGCTTGAAAAATGCACACAGTCTTCTCGCTTCTCTGGGGTTGCGATCCAGTTATCAGGTTGGTTCTGAGCCCAAAAACTCACTTGGTGGTTGCATTTTGGGCCATCTGTCCAAGTCCAGTTGCCTTCTTCCCTTTGATCAGTGAGTCCGATCCAAAATGTCTTCCCTTTGCCCTCCCTTACAAGAAATTCCATCTCTTCCTTGGAGGCGACAGAGGTGAGGTGCACCCCGTGGGACATGCAGGTCTCTTCAGCCTCCTGCCAATGCTTAGTCTCTTGCGAAAAGAAGTAGAAGCTCCCATTGTGAAACCTCCAGCCGGCAGAGACCAATCCCAGTAGAGTCCCGTAACGCTCTTGTAGAGATGTTTGGGATTCTATGGCACTCTCCAAACAGGCCTGGATCTCAAAGAAACCCACACTAACATTCTGCAACAGCTGAAATCTCTTGGATTCCCCCAGCGAGGCATTGGAGACGTTGTAGAGATGAAGACTGATGCTGTATTTCTGAGCTAAGGGTACCTGCTACAAAAAAAGCCCTGGGTTTTGACAACAAACAAAGTAAATAGAATAAGGAGCAAAAGGTGGGTGTGGCTGGATGACCACACTTCTGGTAATGTGGGGGTGTGGCTTAATATGCTAATAAACTGCTATCTCAGGGTGTGGCCTAATATGCTAATGAGTTTCTGCTGTTGGGTGTGGCCTATTATGCTAATGAGTTCCTGCTGGGCTTTTTCTACAAAAAAGCCCTGGTTAGTATTATCTTGGCCCAAAATGATTTTAATGCAGAATCCAGTTTTGATTATTATATAGGGTTGCCAGCGTGGGAGACTAGGGGGGTGTATAGAAATATTGATTTCTAAACGTCTCCTGCCTTCTCCTGTGATGTCTTTCTGATAACATGCTGTGCCTTATTTCCTGTTGCAAGCCAAATGGTGGGCCAGATGGCCTGAACAACTTTATAACCCACATTCTTCACACTTCCATGCTAGAAGCTAGACTGTAAGGCTCCACACTAGGCCTCATATGAGTGTTGTCACGTAGGCCCACTCGCAATTGGCTGATGGCCACAGCTAATTTGTGACTGGAATTGGGCTATAATTGATCCCTCTGGGAGTGAGTTTCTTAGCTCTCCCTTCCTCCTCTTGTCATTGTCTGTTTTATGATGCCTGGAAATGCTGTCTCTTGGAAAACAAAGAGTTGCTTTGTGAACTGTAGCACATGGTTGTGCAAAGATGGGATTTCTCCTTAAAATCCATTGGTACGTGGACTATCTTGGACTGATGAATATTCCTGACTGGGTAACTATGAATCATTAATGTGTTGTTAAGGCAAACAGCCCTAGCCTTTATTATTTTTGTAATCTCTGGTAGTCTATGCTAAGCTTTGTACTGAATAAAAGATCCTTTTTGTTGCTAATTTGGCTTTGATGTTGTAACTTGACTTCCAAGTCTAAGTCCTGTGCCTAAACGCTCACCATATACGCTACAATTGGAGGGTAAAAAGCGTGCATCTCTGGGTTGAGTTGCTAATGTGTTCTGTCCCAGATGCCAACTAAGGGTTTGGAATCTCTCCCTTAGGGAAAGCAGAGACTATTGAAAAGAGATTCTGGTGGCATATTGTTCTGGAAACCCGAGAGGGTATAGACCATCTCGTGGTTTGTTGTTTAATGTATTGAAAAGTACAGGATTCCCTCCCATCCCTGGACTGGCCGGGGTGGGCTAATCCCTGTACAGGGGGGGACTTACCCAAACGACTTACCTATAACTTTTGTGGGCTAGAGGCCCTTACATGCATGAGATGAAACTTCAGTCAGTACACATACATATACAAAGGAGAAAAAAAAAAGAAAACTGGGTTTAAGACATGACATGCAAAAGGTATAGTCTGTAACATTTCTAGCAAAACTCAAAGCAATGTAACTGTTCGCAACAGATGTAATCGGTGATAACATGATCTTTCTAGTCATGTTGAAGTAATTTTCTCCCCTGTAGTGGGTGGGGGGAAAGTATAATCTCCATTTGTTGTTCAGTCACACAGTTGAGTTTCACTTAATACCATCATTTAATTATTAAAATATTTATATGCCCGTCTTTCTCCTGAGCATCTCAGGCCTCAAGAGGAATAACAACAATATGGAAACAAATATTAAAACAACAGATATAAAACATTAAAAAAACATCTTAAAACACCTTATGCCTCCCACCTGGAGGATAACCCCCCTATTCTGTAATAGCTATTTTTTTAGCCTCGCTCAAAAGCCAAGAAAGTAGAAGTCCCCCTTGCCTCTTCTGGGAGGCTATTTCAGAGGCATGTGGTTGTCACTGAAAAGGCTGAAGCCTGAACTGTTGCCAAAAGTACCTAAACCGGGGGGGGGGGTTGTCACTGATAGTGGACCTTGCTGGTAGGGTTGCCAGGCCTCCTGCTAGGGTGGGAAGCCTTTGGCCATTTGTTGCTGTTGCCCGCCATTGCTTGGAGTGGTGTGGGGAGACGTTTCTGTTTTTTAAACATCACTGGCATCTGTGGCAGTAGGTCACTTCCAGGTAAATCATAGATTTTCTTTCAATTCCTAGAGCTACCCATTGTCACTTCTGGGTTGTACCCAGTAACCCAGTTGTACCCAGTAATGATGAAGTGACATCAGCAGTGTTGCTGACATCACATGCCACCCATGTTCCCATCCCCAAACCTCCTGCAAGTTACCAGGCTTAGCGTGGCAATCCTACTTGTCAGGAAGAATGAAACTGCCACATGGGAACATGGAGGGAATGTTGGTCTTTCAAGAATGTGGGCTCCAGGTCATGAAGGATGTTAAAGATGAGCTTCAGCACCTTGAATTGGACCTGGAAACTAATTAGCAGCCAGCGATGTGACCTGTCACGATTCCCATCTTGGTCCTCATGATTCCCTGTGTTAATTAAACTCCTAAATCAGGCAGTACATTTGGACACCCTCTCTAGCAAGAGCAGGAACAGGCCAAGCAATAACAAAGCCCCACAGAAAAGGATAGGGTTTCTACTCCAAGAGGGATCACTTGATTGGCCTAGTACCATCTGGAGTGGGAAAAGAGCACCTATCCATAAAAGGATTATAGCAAAAATGATAAAACCCAGGAGTTACATTTGCCTTTCCAGGAGCAAGCAAGGAAGGAGGAGGTTCCTTGACAGATAGGGCTATGTAAGTCTGACATATAGTGCTACCAACTCCAGGTTGGGAAATACCTGGAGGATTTAGGAATGGACCATGGGGAGGGTGGGGTTTGTAGAGGGGAGGGACCTCAGTGAGGTATAATGCCATAGAGCCCACCCTTCAAAGTGGCCATTTTCCCCAGGTGAATTGATCTCTGTAATCTGGAGATCAGTTTTAATTCCAGAAGTTCTCTAGGCCCCACGTGGAGGTTGGCAACCCTAAGCAGAAGGCTTCAATGTGGTTCTATGGCTGCCGGGGTTTCCTTTGTTCTTTGGCAGTGAGGCTGTTCAAGAACCCATCAGAAGTTGGTTGGATTGCCAGCTTCAGGTTGGGAAATACCTGGAGATTTTGGGGGTGGATCCTGAGGAGGGTGGGGTTTGGGGAGGGGGGAATTCATGAGGTATAATGGGTCTATCTTTCAAAGTGGCAATTTTCTCTAGGGGAAGTAATCCCAGGAGATTTTCAGCCACTGCATGGAGGCTGACAACCCTACCGACATGGCTCAGGATCTGTAAACCAGTAAGCTAGAGGGTCAGTTTATTTTGGTTGCATTAATTTTTTGTGTTTTTATCTGTTTTTCATTGTCCTCTGATCATGAAAGCTTTCCATTATCTTTAGTTCTCCCCTGCAAGTAATTGCATCTATTTCCCTTCTTATTCTGTGTTCCCCAAATAAAATTAGAATTTGGTGTTTAAGAGAGCATCATGAAAATAATTGGATTTTGTGTAGGCCATCTGTTAAGTGAGCCAGGCTGCACGTTTAACTGAATAATGGGTATGTGTGCGATAGAGAGAGCAGGGTTGCCAGGTCCCTTAAAGGCACCGGCGGAGGGATGGGGGCACTGGCTCCTCTTTGGAGCTTAGGCTGGGGCTGGCTCCTCTTTGCAGCTTGGTTCAATCTGAGCTGCATAGAGGAGCCAGCCCAGGATCGGACAGGACATCACAGAGTTCTCAGCTCCCACCGCCCCAGCTGATCCTCTCTCTCTCTTGTTTTCCCTTGGGAATCTCGAATATTTACTGAATCCGAATACCATACCGGCATTGGGGTTCAGGAATATTGGTAAATACCAATATTTTTCGGGTTCAGTATACCTGAACCCAAAAAATACTGGGGGGGGGGTGAGTTTTGCACACCCCTAGGCCTGACCCACAGAAGTCCGGAGCTGTGCTGGCAGAACTGTCTTTCCTTCCCTCCCTCCAGCAGTGAACAAGCCCATTCACAAAATGTTCAGGAACTGGAAGGGCTCCTGGTGCTTCCACAGACCTGGTCTGGGGCTCTCGTGTTTGCCATGCTAGGTTTCCAGGAGACTTCCTGTGTAGGCTGGTGGCAGCATTGGCCTTTTGCAGATGAGACCCTCAATCTACGTTCTTTGTTATTGATTCTAAAGTGGGTCACTTCCGGCCTGGTACTGAGTTTTCTGTTTACTGAGTGCTTAAGGCCTAATGAGCACTTGCCTTCAGCATGCGTCTTTGTTTGGCCCCTCACCAGATCAGCTGCTGAAAGTGAGAGGTTTGCTCATTTGGTACCGTGTAAAGAGGCACTGAAAATATTTGTGGGAGGCAGCCTGTCCTTCTTCCTGTTACAGGCCTAGCCCACACTGGGCCCCTTGTCATTGGGGTAACATGTGGTTCTACTTGCTTTGAAAACTTGCAGGAGCAGAGAAAGAAAAGAGTGGACAGGTTCTGTGGGAGAAATGAACTGATTTGACCTCACTTAGAAAATGTCCTGGGATTATAAATATTTTATTCCCGGCATTGCTGGAAAACTACTGGGTCTAAAACAGTATCATGGATTATGATTCACTCTGCTTCCCTGAATAGCTCAGTGAAAAGTGGGGGTATGGAAGGAAACCTGTGTTTTTTAGCATCTTAATGAATATAGTGTTTTGACAAGAGTATTGCTGGTTTCATCCACATGCAACCCTCCTGGACTATTTGAGTTTCGCTGTGTCAGGTAACTAACAGTGCAATCCTACACAGGGTAACTCCAGGCTAAACTTGTTAAGGAGGGAGAGGCTTACAGCAGAGTAACTCCAGACTGGATTGTGCTATAACAACCCTTTTCAACAAGACTTTTACACTCAAGCATGCAATACGGTATTATTAACCCAACAATTTCAGAATTTCTCTAGTCACTATCCTGAAGGTAATGGTGATGATCTTGTAAGAGTTGGAAAGGATCCAAATGCCATCTATGCCCATGTCCCTACCGCCCCACAGTCTCCTGGTTGCTTGGCAACCCTATCACTGCAACATATATTTATTTATTTACTTATACAATGCCTTTCTCCCCAGTGAGGATCCCAAGTGGATTACACCATTCTCTTCTTCCCCCATTTTATCCAAGAGTGTGTGACTGGCCCAAAGTCACCCAGAAAGCTTCCGTGGCAGAGTGAGGATTTAAGCAGGGGACTCCTAGATCCTAGTCTGACACTCTGACCACTCTACCACATACCCTCTCCTGTGAGACAGGACCATACAAGCACCAGTCCTCCTATCAGCCTTTCTGATCTCCAGCAAGCCATCCTCAGAGGGAGGCTGCAATAGCAGATAGCACCACATTACTCCAGGAACTGATTGAGTTGCATCTGGTGGTATAGACAAAGGCATTTTCTCACACACACTCCTCTTGGAGAATCACTAGCCAATCCAATAATCGCAGTCCCTCTAAATGACAGTAAATCATAGCTACGGTATGCTTCAGGAAAAGACATCACTTTCAAATAGTAATTCTAATTAATAGTGTTGTTCCACTGTGTTGGTCTGCAGTGCAACAACTACTGACGAAGGGAGCTTTGAGTCTTGAAAGCTTAGACCCCAAAAATCTTGCTGGTCTCTAGGGTGCTACTGGGCTCAGTCTAGCTGTCCAGATGAAGGGGCTTTGGGGTAAAAATGTTTTGATCATGTTTTGAAATGTTAGATCAGCCAGTCATGCTGATCCAGTGCCTCTAACTAATCTCCAAGCCACATGGGAATTCTTAGTCTAAGAGACTGGCTACAAAGTAGCCGGAGCCACACGGGTGGCACAGTCTGAAAAAATATCTGTTGCGGTTGTACATACACCAAAGTTAGATGATGCTTCTTTTCTTGAACCATTTTTCCTTTTGGATGTGCTTGTCATTGTAAAATCAGCAGCTGGATAAGAAGAGGAAAACAGACCATTGTTTCTGCCTATGCTATTTTGTATTGTTCTGTCTGGCTGTAAACTATTTCCCCAACATCTCTAGGACCTTAGCATATTGCCAATGGGTGGACAATCTCCATGAGACCCAGAAGATGCTGTCTCTTACTGGCCCCTTCAGTGACTTATTGAAGTGGATTCTCTGCCATATAACGAAAGGGATTGTGAAGCGGGAAATGTACGGCCATGGTATTGGCCGCTTCTCCGAGGAAGAGATATACAAGCTGATGGAGAAAGACATGCGCTCCTTAGCAGGTCTTCTGGGTAATGTACAGTGCATTTCATTACATATACATTATGCACAATCACTTTTTGTACAGTTTTGATAGACTGGTGGTATTATTCTCTGTCAGACTGTTTCAAAATGATCTCTCCCCTTTCAGTCCACTTATATAGCCAACTGCTGGCTTGAGTTTACTTATTTAACACTGGCTCGTATCATTTGCAATCCACCAAATGAAATGCGATCTGGGGTTATTCGTGGCAGCCTGTCAGGTGATTGACAATCTCTGCCTTTGCTGTCCTGTGCAAGGCAGCAAAAACAGGAGGGGCACAAAGCCCTTGGTGGGCTACCATCCCTGTCTGGTAGGCTTATGTTGCTTGGGCATGGAGGTGATTCCTGGTTTCTCTGTCATACTAGAGACCCAGTTTGGTGTCGAGGTTTGAGTGTCAGACTAGGATCCGGGAGACTTCAGTTCAAAGCCTCACTCTGCCACGAGGGCTTTCTGGGTGAGCTAGGACCAGTCCCGCACTGCAAAGCAAAGCACCTTCCTCACCATCCCTTCAAGGGTTAACATGAATGGTGATGGGCCTGTACTGATCTGCAGGTGTTGCTGATTGGGGTTAGACAGCAGACAGTCCTCACAGGGTTGTTGGGAGGATAACATGGAGGAGAAGAGAATAATATAAGCTACTTTGGCTCTCCATTGGTGAGAAATGTGGGGTGCAAATGGAGTAATGAAATAAATAAATTCCTCATTCTGCACCAGTGTGTGTGTGTGTGTGTGTGTGTAATACTGCTTTCTCTTCCTTACTATGATGTCTCCCTAACTCTAATGGGCTTTTTGGCTTTTTTTTTTTTATAAACATTTGGTAGTAGTTATATTGGTATATAGCACATCTTTGAAAAGCCTGCCAGCTGTGTGTGTGTGGGAATAGCAAATGAAAGATGAAACAGTGCCCAGTGTACCTCCAAATGTGGGCAGGGAGGTATGGAAATCTGCACCTTCCCTTCCGTATTCCACTTCAACCCAGTTTTGGTGCAAAATGTCAGAAAAGATCATACCAAAGCAAGTTTGAGGAAATCTGCAGAGCTGGAGAAAACCCAGGAGGCACATGGAAGCATTACAAGCATTACAATGTTATGTGGAAACAAAATAATATCTGCAGCTGCTGGTGGCGGGGGTGGGGGGAGCATTGCTTCCAGGCTGGCCCCAAATTCAATTCCAGGCTGGCCTCAAATTGAATTAATGTTATTAGCTTTGATTTAATTAGCTGTAACCCCCGAGGCCCCCTCCCCCCAAAATCCCTAGCTACAGGGCTGGGGAAGAGCAGGGTAAGAACTCTGTGCAGAAGCAGCCCATGTGGCCAAAAGATGTCCTCCACACACACAGAACCCCCCCCCTCCACCCTTCAGTACTTTGGCTTTGTTTCTTTACTGAGCTGTGCTATAGCATCACAGCAGGGCTGGAAAAAAGAAAGCAATGAAAGCCCTTCAAGGGGGTGCGGGTGGGAGGACACTGAGTGGGTGGGATGGGAAGGCAGCAGGAGAAGAAGTGTCTTCGGAATGCGGGTATGTGGGTATGTATCCTGTTCCCATCCATCCCTGCACCACTTGCTGTTGCTGCTGTGACAGGAGTGTGTTTTCATAGGTCCCTGATCTGTGTGCAGAATTCAGGGGCACATTTTAGTTGATGCTGCAATCATTAGAATAAAAGAGAACTTTTTTTTTTGTTAAACTCCAGATTACACATAATTCAGATATCCAAAGATGTATTCAGATGTCAATTCACATCTTGTTGAGTTGTTCAGTTTGAGAGGGATTAATTTCTCATTGGGTCTGCAATACTATCTTGACGATTCAGGACTGATTGGTTTTGCATAATGGTAATTTCCTGATGAAGGAAACCTGTAGATCTGGTGTCACTTGAGGACCATGCGCACAACTCTGGATTTAGACTTCTTTTTTTTTTAAAATACATTATGAGTCACTCTATGAGTCCTAAGTAATGCCCAAGACCTGGTGAGAGATGTAACTGATTGCACCGCTTGGGAACAGTGACCATAATGTCATTCAGTTCAACATTTGTATAAATAGGGAGTTGCCCAAAAAGACCGACACAACCACTTTTAACTTTAAAAGGGGTAACTTCTCTGAAATGAGGGGACAAGTGAGGAGGAAACTGAAAGGAAAAGTAGGAACGGTCAAAACCATTGGGGAGGCTTGGAGACTATTTAAAACTACAATCCTAGAAGCTCAGATAAAATATATACCACAGGTTGGGAAAGGCACAAATAGGTAATAGAAAAAAGCCTGCATGGTTAACACAAAGTAATGGAAGCTGTAAAAGGTAAGAAGGATTTCTTTAAGCGGTGGAAAGCTAGTCTCAGTGAGGCTGATAAAAGGGAACACAGGCTGTGGCAAATAAAATGCAAGTCTGTGATCAGGCAGGCATAAAGGGAATATGAAGAGCATGTTGCAAAAAACATAAAGACCAACAATAAAACTTTCTTCAAATTAGAAGCAGGAAACCAGCCAGGGAGGCAGTGGGGGCCTTGGATGACCAAGGGGTAAAAGGATTACTGAAGGATGATAGGGAAATGGCTAAGAAGATGAATGCATTTTTTGCCTCTGTCTTCACTGTGGAAGATGAGAAGTGCTTGCCCACTCCAGAACTGCTAATTTTGGGAGGGATGTTGAAAGGCCTGATTCAGATTGAGGTGACGAGAGAGGAGGTCCTACCTTGTTGTCAACCTTGTAACATTTTGAGGCCTTCCTACTTGCCTCTATCTACACGAAAACTACAATTAGATGCTTCTACAAGGGAAATATTTAATTTAATAAATGTAATACAATTGTCAAAAGAGACGATAAAATAAAGGGGATATCACTTAACAAGCTGTTTAAAACATGGAAAACCACAAGTCATTCAGATATAATTTACAGTGGGGGGGGGGTTTCTGTAGACCAGGAAAAATAAACCATACAAGTGCAGTCTCATCATACTCTATCTAGATTACATTTTATTTGTACTTTGAAAAAAATGGCACAGTTGTGGGCGACTGTTTGCAGAGATAGTAATCAACTCTTATTTAAAGGGAAAAAATGGCATCTGAACATGTTTAATAGACTCATTTTCCCCCCTCACATCTCTGACATTTTTGTTATTGGATTCACATCTCAAATGTTTCTCAAAACACCAATTTTAATCAGAATTCTGATCAAGGAGTTTTATTGTTTGTGATCATGTTCATTTGTCTCTTCCCATTATAAATCAATCTGTAACAATGTCTCTAAGATGAGGGAATGAAAAGGAGGCTTCAGATAATTAAGGAATGGTGCGTGGTACAGATATCCACCAAGCCTAACAGCATAAAGGTTGACATTCGCAATAATTAATACATCTAGATTTTATAAGGTCTGAGGTGGTCTTGTATCTGCATTAAGTAAACCCTGGAAGCACATTACATGCAAGGTACAGTGAGCTCTAGTCAGCAATTAGCTAAATAATTATACTTCATTAGAGAGTGAAAAAAGCTATTTGCCAAGGATACTGAAGCAGTCTCTCACTGTCATTAACATAGGCCTGGGCTGTTCAATGTCAGAATTTATCCCCAAGTTGTGGCTGGCACAATGCAATGGCACACTTAGCAATGACGTACTTAAGGCACAGTGTTCTCTATGGATGAAACAACTTAAACAAGCTTCTGATCTTTTCTTCTCGCCTCCCAAAAATTTTAGAAGAAGAAGAAGAAGAGATTGGATTTATACCCCGCCCTTCACTTGGAGTCTCAGAGTGGCTTACAAACTCCTTTCCCTTCCCCTCCCCACAACAGACACCCTGTGAGGTGGGTGGGGCTGAGAGAACTCTGACACAAACTGCTCTTTTTCAAGGACATTTGTGCCAGAGCTTGTGACTGACCCAAGGTCACATCAGCAGGTGCAAGCGGAGGAGTGGTGAATCAAACCCGGTTCTCCCAAATTAGGGTCTGCAAACTTAACCACTACACCAAACTGGCTCTCCAAGAGAGAGATCTTGGAGTCGTAGTAGATAACTCACTGAAAATGTTGAGACAACGTGTGACTGCAATAAAAAAAGCCTAACACTATGCTGAGGATTATTAGGAAGGGAATTGAAAACAAATTAGCCAGTATCATAATGCCCTTGTATAAATCAATGGTGCAACCTCATTTGGAATACTGTTTGCAATTCTGGTCACCACACCTGAGAAAGGATATTATAGCATTGGAAAAAGTGCAGAAAAGGGCAACTAGAATGATAAAAGGGTTGGAACACTTTCCCTATGAAGAAAGGTTAAAGCGCTTGGGGCTCTTTAGCTTGGAGAAACAACGGCTGAGAGGTGACATGATAGAGGTTTACAATATTATGCATGGGGTAGAGCAATACAAGAACTTGTGGGCACTCAATGAAATTGCTGAGCAGTCGGGTTAGAATGGATAAAAGGAACTACTTCTTCACTCAAAGGGTGATTAACACATGGAATTCACTGCCACAGGAGGTGGTGGCAGCTACAATCATGGACAGCTTCAAGAGGGAATTAGAGAAACACAAGAGGGGACCCACAACAAAATGTTGCATAATGTGTTGTGGTCCTACCTTAGTCTTTGTTGCTGGCAGTTCTTGCAAGGAACTTGTGGGGAGGGGGCATTCCCCCACCATCGTTTCCCTCTCCCACCTTGGTTGTCAAAGTTTCCTCCTCTATCTTTCTGCACCTACCCCTTATCTACCAATCTTCCCTCACTTTCCCTTCTCCTCTCATTCTTTCTATGTCAGCTTTCCTCCCTACCCCTTTTCTAGCAATTCTTTCTTAGCCCCTTCCTCCTCTTACCTCATGTATGTCTCACCCCCTCTTACCCCAGCCCTTCTCAAACGATATCCTCTTTCCCCCACCCCCTCTCAGTCTGCCCCTCTCTTTCTCTCCACTATTTCTCTACTCCCCCACAATCTCCCCCTCTTCCTTTTTCTCTCCCCCTCCCTCAGACAATCTCCCATTCTTTTTCTTTCTCTCCCACCAACAGAGAATCCCCTATTCTTTCTCTGTCTCCCCCCCCCCGCTCAGTGAACCCCACTTCTTTCTGTTGCTCTCCCTTTGCAGCCACACAGGCCAGCAATCATCCTAATTTGGGAGCACTTATCTCCATTGGCAATCTGCTTGAGGGAGGGGGGGCGATGCAGGATTCGCCTCCTTGGGCTTCAGCTGTCAGGCCTCAGGGCCAGCTTGGGCAGCAGCAGTAGAGGGTGGGCGGGCGGGCTCCCAGAGAGGCACTGCCGCCCCTTTGGCTCCCTTGGCCACCTGGCCACCTTCCCTCCCCAGGAGTGCCCAAACCTGCTGGCTGAAGCTCCACTCTTCATTGCCGGCAGTCCTGGCAATGGCTGGGATGGGTCTCGCAGTGGGGCACATGGTTATTGGCATGGCGGCTTCCCTCAGTGTCTTTTCCCAGCGTTCCTAGCAGTGACAGGGATGGTTATTGCCATAGCAGCTTCCCTCGCGGCTCCAGCAGCTTTTCACGTTCTTCCTGTAAGTTCCTTCTCTGCGCATGTGCAGAGCAAGCAGTTTTACTTTTGGGGGGATTTAAGTGTCCCCGTATTTTTAAAAAACATTTTTGATTTTTCTGCAAACCTGATGAGCGCCCCAAGTTTGCAGAAAGATCTATTTACCCTCCATGTGTCCCAGATTATGGGAAATAAGTATCTGCACACAGAGGGACCCTTGGCTATTAGATATATAGATATGGAGCAGAGGTCCATCAGTGGCTATTAGTGGCTCAGTGGTTAAGACACTGAACTGCAGGCTGGAAGGTCGGTAGTTCAGCAGTTCGAGACCCGCGTGCCGCACAACGGAGTGAGCTCCTGTCTCTGGTTCCAGCTCCTGCCAACCTCGCAGTTCGAAAGCAAGAAATTGCAAGTAAATAAATAGGTACTTCTTCGGTGGGAAGGTAACAGCGTTCCGTGCGCCTTGGTGTCTAGTCATGCCGGCCACATGATTCGACTGGCTTTCAAGCAAGGGAACCTTTACCTTTACCTATAGATAGGAACTCTTGGTCTGGGGCAAGTGATGCTCTGTATTCTTGATGCTTGGGGGGAGGGGCAACAGTGGGAGAGCTTCTGGCCCCACTGCTGGACCTCCTGATGGCACCTGGTATTTTTGGCCACTGTGTGACAGAGTGTTGGACTGGATGGGCCATTGGCCTGATATTGGCTTTTTTTTGGTTCTTATGGTGTATGGGTGGGGGGGGGATACTTGCAAGTCCCTAAATGCCTGTGGCACCATTTAATTTTTAGGTGACAAAAAGTACATCATGGGACCCAAGCTTTCTACCTTAGATGCCACAGTCTTTGGTCATCTGGCACAGGCAATGTGGACATTACCAGGAACCAGGCCTGAGAGGCTCATTAAAGGTAGGAACTCCTTGTTTCCCACATTCGTGAAAGGCACTGATGAGAAGGGTTAACAGGTTCTACTTAAGGGTCCCAGTCCTTCTACTGTGGCGGGAAGTCTCCTTCTGGCAACCTCTGTTCCCATTGCCTCTCTTTGGGGAGGGGGGGGGGGCGTCAAATGACAGGGCACTCAACGAGAGAGAGAGAGAGAGAGAGAGAGAGAGAGAGAGAGAGAGAGAGAGCGAGCCAGCAGTGTTGCTGATATCACTATATTTTCCCCAGAAGTATGGTAAGTTTACAGCAAGTCCTAAAGCTACTCTAGGTCACTTCAGGGTTTCCCTCAGAAGTGATTTAGCAACGTCAGAAATACCACTGATGTTGCACCCCCTCGTGTCCTTGCCCGGGCCGGGGCCCAGGGCTCTTTTTGTAGCAGGAGCTCCTTTGCATATTAGGCAACACGCCCCTAATGTAGCCAATCCTCCAAGAGTTTACAGTAGCCCTTGTAAGAAGAGCTCTGTAAGCTCTTGGAGGATTGGCTACATTAGGGGGGGTGTCGCCTAATATGCAAAGGAGCTCCTGCTACAAAAAGAGCCTGGCCCCAACCCTTTTCACTGCTTGCCAAACTCTGTCCGGCAACCCTTTTCCTGTTCCAGTCAAATCCAGATTGCTCATCCAGTTTGCACTGGATCCACAGGACTCTGCACAGCAGCCGATATACAACTAAGCCACTGGTTTGGCATGGTGCAGATACAACGTAACACTTGACCCATCTATATATTTTTTCAGTACAAAGTTGCATTGTGAACATAAATGAAGTTGCAGTTGAGCTCTGTGTAATTTAAGGGTTACATTCAACTGCCAACTTCCTTCAGCTTCCCTCTGTGGAGTCTCCACTTTAGTAAAAGAGAGTTGTTGTAATCCAACAACTCTCTGGTTTGAGAGAGGAACTTCTTCTGTGTTGTGTTCTGAGGTATTTTTGCCGTATCTTGCCTAAATTTGCCAACTGTGAGAGGATCCCTCATTAGAATATTTTTCCTGTAGGAGCCCTAGGAGTGATGCATTTCTTATAAACAATGCTGCCACCTGGTGGAACAAATTGAAACAATTTTATTGTGTATTGCTATCATAACTCTGTGAATAAAATATAGGGAATGTATACAGCTGTCACGCTTTACTAACGTTTTTGTCTCATCTTGTCCTTCTTCTGTTCTTTGCAGTGAGTATTTTATTAATTTGTTTCTCATTTTCACCACATAACTCAAGGGTTCTCAGGCACTGACTAGACCAAGACATCTTCGGCAAGTTTTTTTTTTGCTCTGATGTCTTCCACCATGATCTTGGCACTTTTGGTCCTCTCTCCTTCTGAGCTGTGCACTTGCTTTATTTAGCTGTTGGGTTTTTTAACAATACCATGATAAGTATCCACATACATAACTGAGACCCCCTACTCATATCAGTATAATAAAAAATTGGTACCTTCTAATATATCTACAGAATTGTAAAGTGCAAGGATTAACACTGTTCTGTCAAAATGACAATGTGTATGTTGGTGGATTGGGACTATGTGTAAAATCGGGCTTTTAATAAAAGGAAAGAGTTTAGCGATGGGCAGGTGGAATAGGGGCCAGGGTGATGAATTGTAGGAAGATGCTTATTCAAACAGTTCAGTACAGTTTCACTGATATTGGCTGTTGGCAAGTACACAAAGGACATGTAGGACAGTTAGTACCTCATAAGGTACTAGTTTTCATACTAAGAAACTCTCAAATGGAGAGAGGGGCTGTGGCTCTGTGGTAAAGCACCTGCTTAGTGTGCAGAAGGTCCCAGTCCCAGTCCCTGGCATCTCCAGTTAAGAGGACAGGCAGTAGGTGAAGTGAATGACCTCTCTACTTGACACCCTCCAAGCCTCTGCCAGTTAGATTAGATCTTGATAAAACTGTGGTCTGGCTTAGTAGCTCAGGACAGATGATACCCGTGTGTCTACTCACCGTGTAGAGAAAGAGAGCAGGCACAAGTGTGCTGGCACTACCTCTTCCATCATCATAATTGCCTGGTTGTCTTCAGAGTGCAACTGCACAGAGGAAGGGGCTTCATGTGCCCCCCCATGATCAACAACACCCTGAAAGCAGCATCACTGATCAGCAGCAATCTGCAGACAGAGTGAGTCAACATATGGGCGAGTCATCTGTACTAGGCTAGTGTAAGGCAGCATCATGCGTTCATGGTGAAATATGGACAGTGCAGACAGTTTGTATTCTTTACAAGCAGGCAGACATCTGCAGGTTGGAAATATCCAGATTATGGTGCAGTCCCATACAGAATTAATTCAGCAGATGCCAATCACTTTCACTTTAATGTTGGAGTAGTTTCAAGAAAGTGTTCTTCATTCCCAGGAGCAAACTTATGCTGGATCAGACCAGCAGTCCACCTGACTTAGCTTTCTATTAAGGCAGTTTTTAAACAGGTGCTCCAGGAAAATTCTTGGGTATGGCTGGGTGATGATAGGCATCCCATGTTGCTTTTCCTCCAGCATCTGTTGGCAGAAATCTAGAAAACACAGAGACTGCGCTTGGTCTGTAAAGAATCTTCATGCTTTTCTCTTTCACTTGGTGTGGCTGGGTGGCTGTTTAATACCACTTTCCCCTTGCATGTTTCACAGGAGAATTGATTAACCTTGCTATGTACTGCGAGAGAATAAGGAGGAAATTCTGGCCGGAGTGGCATCATGACGATGACAACACTCTGTATGAGTCAGAAGAAAGTAGCGAAGCAAGCAAGACTAATCTCTTACAGGACTTCAGTTTTTATTCAAGGACAGAAACATTTGAAGATGAAGGAGCCGAAAATAGTTTTTCCCGAACGCCTGACACTGATTACACTGGACATTCCCTCTTTGATTCAGACGTGGAGATGGATGACTGCACAGATCATGAACAATGCAAGTGATGTGTGTAAGAAACACTGTTCCACCTTGTTTCAGAAACACCGCCGCCTCCTGGGAATCATGCCAACTGACCCACGTTCCAAACAGGCCCACATTATTATCTGGACCCTTTCAGCATCATTTCATTTTGTTGAAGCATTCCGATGGATCCTAGATAAACAATTCTTAATTCTGCTCAGCAAGATGGTGAAAAGTTGACAAAGAAGGTAATGGGTGGGGGTAGTGAGGGGATTCCTGCCGAGAGAAGACATTCTGGAATAACAGGTACAAGTGGAGCAAAATGCTGAGGAGGGCTAGCTTGGGCCGATGCCCCCTTCTTCCCAGAAACAGACTGAAGACTATAAAGGGAAGGGAATTGCTAGGGTTTCTGACTTGCTCATGTATTACAGAATTGGCTGAAATGGATCAAGACAGGGCAAGAACACAGATTATGACATCCCCCCCCCCCAGCTTGGCTTCCTGCATTTTGGTGTGCTGGGTGTGCTGGCATTTGACATGTGTCCATGTGTGGAGTAGCTTCTAGAAATATCAGCTTCACAGACAGTCAACCACGAAAGAAAGAAAAAAAGAATGAGTTTTCATTCAAAACCTAGGAGTGGTCTCTTCCTATGATACATTTACTTGATAGTTTTTAATTTACTATGACACTGTTTCAAAAAAGAGATACTACCCATGTTTAATTTTAAGTCTGTCCACCTTTCTCTACATAAAAGTCTTCTCCAGTATTCCACTGCAGTGTGACCAAGAAACAGAACCCAGGATTAGGTTATGCAGATGAAGAGGCTGGGATAAGTTCAGACTTGATTTCTTCATGAGTCTGGTTGCTGGGAGACCCAGGTGCAGCAAGCAGGCTGAGGCCTAAGCTGCACACTACATTTTGCACGTGATCGCCACGGGGACATGCAGCCATATGGCAGCTACAAGTTCCTTGGATGAAGTCAACTTAGAAATGCCACAGCCCCCCCCCCCCATATGGATTGGAACCATGGTGCAGCAAGAGGAGGGGCTCCTGCCCCCTTGTGCCCTTTTCCTGAACTGAAACAGCCTTGGGGGTGGGGAGCATTTTTTGCCTGGTCTGAGGCAGCTGGCCTCCTGCTGCAAGTCCCTGTTGGGACCATGTGTTAAATGTAATGTGTAGCTTGACTCTTATACTCACCCCAATGGAACACCATCTTTTGCCTTATCTCACATAAATGAATGGTTGCCTTGCTGCCCTCTGTGGGAAAATAAAGTCCAACACTGTGGGAGTGAGAGCAAAAGATGCTTGTCACCTGTCAAGTGCATGGTCCAGCCCTCATTAACGGGAATCCCAGTAGTGTGGTCCATCAAAGTGTTTTGGGTACAAGGTAGATACACTCTTGACATGCTTGTTTCATTTCCTAGTCCACAACATAGTTGGCTGCTGCCAATGTGGGCAAAGGGTATTTTTGATGAACAAGCTGTGGGCTAATGCAGCATTTCATTTGTAAAAAGAAAGGTCCCAGAGATTAGTTTCTTCCTCTCCCCTCCCAAGAGGCATCTCTACACAGATAGAGCTGTTGTGGGGAATAGTATTTTGTCTTTTGCGGTTTCATTTGCAGAGTGCTTGGGGGTTTGCACTGAACCAGAAACCAAGCTAAACCTTTCAGTTCTAAAGGCATATCCAGATGGTAACTGTCCGTGTTTCTGCTCAGGTGCACTAATGTCCAACTTAGTGCACAGGAAGTGTCCCTTTCCCCAGGACATCCATGTGCTGATTACATAACCTGTGCTGATCCCTGTCAGACCTTTGCAAGCTGAAGCCCCCAAGGAATGGGATATAGTAACAGGGTATCTGATTTCCTAATAAAATGTATATGAATATGCCTTTAGTTGAAATTAACTTGTTTTGAATGTCCTAAATGGGAGCCTGGAATTGCTTGCTTCTATCTAGTAGGAATTGTCCTCTCTGACAAAATGCTTTAAAATCCCTTTGGACCACTCTGGCCAGAATTAGTAAAGAACTTTTGCCAGGTGCTCTGTGAATGGCGAAAGCCAGTTACAGGAATGTAATTTTCCTCCATGGGCCTGAATGCCTTAGCTACCCTTATCACTTTCCAAAGGGTGCTGGCCAGCTCACTACTACATGGCATCCCCCCACCCCCCCGCCCTTCCTCTCTCTAGTGTTATAGCATAGCTCTGCAGTGAAAAGGAAACTGAGTGGAAAGGGAGAATTTCTAGGCCCTAGGGGAGCGCAGTACACTCCCCATTGCATTTGCTCTTTTATGCAGACTTGACAGGGTGAAAAGGGAAGGAGTGAGGACTAGGAAGTGGGGGCCGCAGCAAGAGGCACAAGCAGTGGGGAAGTGTAGCTGCCATTCCTGCCTATTCCCATGCTGCTTTTTTCAGCTGCCATGGAAACAGCCTGCCCTGATCTGTAACTAACTGGTTTCCGGTAGTCAACTGGAGTGAGCAGTTTAGAGGATTTTAAAACTCTTGTTTGTAAGTACCAATTCAGATTTGAGGCACAGTATCTAAACATTCCAGGGATGTCTACAGACAGGGTGAAGCTCAAACACATATTACAACCTTTGTGGGAAGGAATATGACTGTTTTGAGAACTGGAGATGAGACTTTCAGAACTGGAGGGATAAATTGTATGCCATGTTCATTGTCTTCTTGATGGCCCAACATTTTCTTAAAGATTTTTGTAGATATAGCTAGTTCTGAAGTTGTAATTATATTTAGATACGAGTTTCCTCAAATATAGCAGATGTGATCTAGAATCAGAAGACAGGTTATGATTTTTTTTTAAATCCCCTTTCTCTTCTGTTGCATTATACAAACATTTGTAATTGCAGGTGGCCTTAGGAACATAAATTATTTTGAAATGGGTTTTTAAGATAGCCATTAAATCATGGTAATTGTTAGGACTAACACCCTACCTTTCAGAGATCATGCTGGCAAACTTAGCCCTTAGTAACTATGATTGAAAACATATTTGGAAATGGTGTTAAATTTCATTTGTAGCAATTAACAGAAGATGTATGTCACCTGAAGTGAACTTAGGGTGTATTTGACCAAAACTACTAGGGATGGGCACAAACTGGCTCATAAACTAAAGTTTGCCATGCATTTTGGCCGATTCGTGGAGCAATGTTTGCGGACTGAAGAGCTGCCATGAACTTCCATGAATTTTGATGCAGTTCATGTTGGTTTGTGGCAGTTCGTGAAAACAGCTCTTCATGAAAAACAGCTGTTTGATACTCAGCTGTTTGGTTTAAATGGCTCACAAACTGGTTTGGTTCGTGAACTAGCGTATTGGTTTGTGGTTCAGCCACGAACCATGAACTAACCACAAAAACGTGGTTCATGCCCATCCCTAAAAACTACTTTTGCTTGGCAAATATCAAATGCAACTTAACTCTTTTCATGTATTTTGAATGATTTATACAGCACTATACCTGTGAAGTATTTGACAGTCTCAATATATTGTTCTTCACAATAAACTGGTGAGAAATTACAATTGTTCCCATTGAACAGATGAGAATTTGGAGGCTAAGTAACAGTGAATACTCACAAATGATACATCCACCCTGTGGTAGAGATGGGGCTTTTGAATCCAGATCTATCAGTGAAATATGTATCTCATCTGCCATGTTTCTTCTTGTTTAAACTTCTATGGGAAGATTATTTGGCTGTTAGCATTGTCCCAGGTTGTTTAAGATCAACTAATATAGCTACAGTCATGAGTTATGCCACATCTAGGATTTCATATGATCCCTATTTATTTTGATTTAATTGACTGTCACACAGCATCATATTCCTATCAGATTTAAAAGGACATCTGTTTGTTTTGGAACACTATGAGAGGCTGTCTATGGGATTTTTCACTCCTGGGATTTCCTAGTATCTGTATCATTCAAATCTTACTTGAAATGTGTATGAGAAGTGGAACTGACCCCTGAGGCCATAAAAATGAAACCACAGGTTATGTGTTTTCAGGTCACAACACTCAGCTGACATTGCTCACAAGCAGAAATGAAAGGCACTCTGAAATGTTTGTTAAGGCCACTGCTTTATTGTTTCTGGTTTCAAATACGCCTGAAAAGAAAGTGAGAGCAGCATAAAATCCCAAAACCAATGCTCCCTCTAAGGTGTGGAGTCTTGTGAGCAAAAATTCTACTTTGTGAGCTACTGGCATTAAAAGTGTGAGTGAGCCATTTGGCTCCTGCCTAAATTAGTTGGCTCTGGAGCCATCCTTCCTGAACTAAGACAAAAATGTGTGAGCCAGAGGCTAAAAAACTGTGAGCTAGCTCACACTAACTCATCTTAGAGGGAACACTGCCCAAGATCCTTATAGGCAGTATAGCCTAACCCTATTGATCAATGGCTGTCCATCTTCTCTGTGAGGGAAAGAAAGCCCCTCCACTCCAGGTAATCGGTTCCATTGTTCATCTGCTCTCATCATTAAGCAGTTTCTCCTGTGATCTGCTGTTCTGTAACTTAACCCTGTTAGATCTAATCTTGCTGTCTTCTATGTAACAAACCTGAAGGTGTTTGAAGAAGTCAGTTATGTCCCCCGCCCTCCTGTCCTGGGTCTTCTCTTTTCTAGGCTGAAAACACCCAGTTCCTTCTAGCTCTTCTTCAAGGACATGTTTTCCAGACCCCTCTGATAGATAATTTTTGTCTCTCTTAAAGTGTGATGCCCAGAATGAGACTCAGTGCTCCAGGCGAGATCTGCCTCACACAAGACAAGAGTGGAACTATGACTTCTCATGATTTGGACAGCATGCTTTTTATGCATCCTAAAATCACATTAACCCTTTTTGCAAATGCAGCACGTTGTTCAGCTTGTGACTGCCAAGCCAGGCACCGTCCCCCCATATATGTGCATTGTATTCTTGTTGCCTAAATGCAGAACTTTGTATTTGTCTCTGTTGAATTTCATTTTGTCTGCTGCAGCCCAGCTTTCCAGCTGATCAAGGTCCCTGTGAATTTTATTTCTGTCCGAAGATGTTTGCTCTCCCTTCCTGTTTTGTGA